CTGCAGTCCATCCTGAAGGACCCGCGGCCGTACCAGCCGGCCGAGGCGGGCGCGGCGCCCGGGGCGTGGGTTGCGCGGCTGGCGCAGCGGCTGCGGCAGCACGACCAGGCGGTCCTTTCCGAGCTCGCCTCGCTGCTGGCCGACTACGAGGCGGAGCTGCTCACGATGGCGGACCTGGACGAGGCGTTCGACGTCCTCGGCCTGACCGCGCTGGCGCTGGAGGCGGGCTCCGTGTCCGAGTTTGTGGCGCGGGCGAAAAGCGCCGGGTAGCGCCGGGTTGGCGACACGCTCTCTTTGCCGTCGCCACACCATGATCCATTGTGGGTCACACATCTCAAAAGGGGGGGGGGGGGGGGACACTGATGATCAGATCAGCAGTTTGTGTGAGAGAGCTGAAAAATATTGTAAAAACCAAACCTATCCGAAAATGATTTAGGAAAAATGCCGAACATATATGGAATATATGCCGATTAGGAGAGTTTTTTCCGACGTTTTTGCCATGCAGAGACAAATACCGCGCCAGATAGTGTCGCCGTCGCCGCGGAGCCGCCTGTTGCGATCTGGGTCGCGTAGTTCGAATTCCTCAACTCGGCCTCCACACCCTCTATGTGGGCGAGAGGCGTGAGCCGCGCGCGCCGCGTGTCGGCAGAGTTCGTACACAGTACACAGTGTCGGTGTCAGTCCATACAGATACACTCTCTCACGTCGAGAGCGGCGCGTGTGCAGAGAGAACGGAGACGCGGAGGGAGGGAGGACGAACACACGCGACGCGACCAGACGCAGTGCTCATGGACACAACCGCTCCTTCTTGCCCGCCTTGGCCCCGCTCTTGGGCTTCTTCTTCCCGATCGCGCCCGCCTGTTTCCTCGCCTTGTCCGCGGGCTTCCGCTCGCCGATGGACGGCTGCGCCGGGCCGCCGTAGGTCTGCAGGGGACGCACATCGGATGAGCGCCCGCAGTGCAGGCGCGGAGCTGGGGCAGGCGCGCACACCGAGGCGTGTTTCGCGAGCTTCTTCTGCTTTTCGAAGCCCTGGAAGCCGAAGCGGCCAATCTTGGCCGACTTGCCCCTAGCGGAGCATGGACTACGAGTCAGCTTCGGCCTGCAGTGTGAGCATTTAACACCGCGAGAGAGACGAGGCACATGGGCAGCTTGTGCGGGGCTGAAAAGAATTTAAACAACACTCTCTCATCACAGCACACAGGCTGAAAAGAATTTCGACCGACACACACACACATGCACAGCGGCGTGCCGTCCTCCCATCCCTCCCTTGGGTTGTGTGTTTTCTTTCTTTCTTTCTACACATGCACAGCAGGCCGGCTGCGGCTCCTGATGTACCTCCGCTTTTGGGTGGCGGTCGCGCGCTGCCGACGGCGCTCGCCGGCGCTACGGCGCTAGTGGCGCGCTCGTGGCGTTCAGGGCGGCTCGCACACGCACACGCACACACACACACACACACGCACACACACACACACACACACACACACACACACACACACACACACACACACACACACACACACACACACACACACCTGAGACACACACACACACACACACACACACACACACACACACACACATGCACACAGGCGCCGATTTTTTGAGTTTTTTTCTTTTTTCGCGATTTTTTACTTGTTTTCATGGGAATTCGGCGTACTTGCGGCCATGCTATCACGCCTTGCGACAGCCTGTCGGCGCAGCTGACCGTGCCATGATGCACAATTGATCACCTGCATAGCTCGCGGCCTTTTAGTATCAAGCATTCAGGGCCACCGTCGTCGCACTCACCATCACTCAAGTAAACACAGCTTTGGTCGCAAACCTGTCCGCGGACCTGGATGAGTTGTGCAAACGCTGTTACTACCAAGGCGAAGGCTGGGCCCTGCGCCATGCCAAAAATGTTCTCGGGAACGCAAAAAAGAAATGGCGATGCCCTAGTCAGCAACCTGAAATCGAATATTCCGTGTACGAAGGTGGTAGCGTGTTTTGCCGTTTTTGTGGTGACCGCTCCCTTCCCATGGTAGTTAGTTGTATTGCGAGGGCTTAACCCTTTTACGTCCACATTTCGAGTGATGAAAATTTTGTCGCTAAATTGGCAACTTGGGTCAGAACACCTTGAGGACATGTGCGCCTCGCCCCATACGACCTCTCAGGCTATAGAGCACATGCCACAGCCTGCCCCTGAGGCGTCATTCACTCACAGCGGCCACTTTGATTTTCCGCCCCTTCGCAGTCAGCCACATGTGCCCATGGCCCAAGAGTCAACTCGGCTCGACGGCTTTAACCATCGTGGGGCACGGACCTTCTGCGACAACCCAGCCCCCTAGTAGGCTTGCGACACACCTTTCGCCGCCAACTCTGCTGGGTCAATGCAACGGGAACGGTTCCCTTTGCTTCCAAAATGTTTCACCGTGGAACGCAACATACGAACCTTCTGGTGGGCCTGCGACACACTTTTCGCCGCCAACTCTGCTGTGCCCTTGTTTGTGTCCTTGGCACCTTGGAGTGCTGGGGGGGGCGACAGGGAGGATGTGGCCCTGAGTTATGTGTACACGCCTACTCAGGGTGTGTGGCAGCCCGCTGGCTGTGTGTCTTGTGAGCCTGTTTGTGTCTGTGTGTGTCGCTCGTGCGTGCCGTCATCATCTGTCCAGCGTCCACCCAGACCGCGTTGGTGTCCAGTCCGAGCCTGGCTGTTCTTCACCTTCCTACCTACAAGCTACATACATACATACCGTGTGTGGGGTCATGTGAGGTGTCTATGGACGCTCTCCTCACAGGCTAGCTGCCTACTGCTAGCCCTAACTCGCACTCATGGGAGATGTCAATTCATAGTTAGAGGCTGCGCAGGCCGTCCCGTTTGCTGTTTGAAACGCCTGTTGGTGTTGCGCTGCGCGCGCGCTGCCGGGGCTCTGTCTCACTCACGTGCCGCAATATGTGTCACACACGGCGGCTTCTGCCACCTCTCGATTGGTTCCACTTTCTACGCACACCTACCGGGGAAGGGGCGCGTGGGAGCGGGGGCGGGGGCGGGGGCGGGGGTGGGGGCGGGGGGGCGCGCAGCGCGGGGCGCGCGCGCGCAACAGAGGGTAGGGTGGGGAAGACGGCGAGGAGGGGGCGGCGGCGGCGGCGGCGGCGGCGGCGCGCGCGCGGCGCGCGCGACGGGGGGGCGGAGCAGCGACCGCTGGCGCGGTCGCTGCTCCGTCTGTGACAGACGCGCGCTCTGCCGCTGCAGAGCGCGCGCGTCAGGCAAAGGAGGGCAAGCGTGGCGGCGCGGGACGCGCGGCGGCGGCGGCGAGCAGCCGAGCTGCTCGCTCCGTGAGCGGTGAGGCGGCCGGGCGAGGGCGCGGCGGGTGACGGGTCAAGGGAGCAGCCCACACCCGGCGTCGCTTTTTGAGCGACGCCTGTGGTACGCCTGCGCAGGGGCCGCAGGGCGGTCAGTTGTGGGGCGAGGCGGTGCCGGCCGCGGGCCGGGTGCAAGGCGCCGGCCTCGGCGCCGCCTCGGCGCGCCGCACCCGTGACGGGTCAAGGGAGCAGCCCACACCCGGCGTCGCTTTTTGAGCGACGCCTGTGGTACGCCTGCGCAGGGGCCGCAGGGCGGTCAGTTGTGGGGCGAGGCGGTGCCGGCCGCGGGCCGGGTGCAAGGCGCCGGCCTCGGCGCCGCCTCGGCGCGCCGCACGGGCGCGGCGAGCCTCTGAGCGGGAGCCGAAGGTTTGCCTGTGGGAGGTAGGTAGGTGGGTGGTTTGACTTTGCCGCAGAGGCCGTCCCTAGCTGTGAACAGCAGAACGGGACAGTATTGTATGAGTGTCATGCACACTTGACACCGTCGACTCGCGTCCGGCATGCCGCTGGCGTCGCACGGCATCGCACTCTCGAGGCTGCACCCGTAGCCCTCGTCGCCGGCGAAGCGGCACCCCCGCCGGTGCTTCACGTCGCGCGTGATGCCGGTGCGCTCCTGGTCCGCCTTCGACTTTGGGAGCTCGCACGTCATGCCTGCGACCGACATCACGCAGTCCTCGCACTGCTCGTTGTAGATCTCGTTCAGCCGGTATGCCAGCTCCTCCGACTGGCCCGCCGCCGCCGCGAAGGTCGCGTCAAACGAGTAGCGCAGATCCAGCACGCCGAACAGCTTCACCGCCTTCGCGTCCGTCAGCGCGTCCGCCTGGTACTTCTTGTGCCTCGTCACGGTGACCATGGCGACGTAAAACGCCCGCCGTGCGATCCTCGTCTCCGCTTGGTTGCCGCACATGTTGAGCAAGAAGGTCAGCGTTTTCCGAAACTGCACAACGCTCGTGCCGGCGTAGAGCTGCACCTCCCCCCTGCCGTTCGTAGCAACCTGACTGCGGTACCCGTTGCTGATGTCGCGCGTGCCCTCGACGGGCTGCGTCTCCTCCTCCCAGGACGGCCGCCGCGCGTCGACATCCCTGTCCTCGACCGCAAAGTCGACAACGCGCCCGCTGCGCATCGTGCGACTGCTTGCTGTTGTGCTCGACGCAAGCATCAGCCCCTGTGCGCGCTCTACCTTTGTCACCCACGACTTCGTCTCCCGAGAAAACAAGCTGCGCAGCACGTCACGCACCACGCTTCCCGGAACCTCGAAGTCTTCGAACCCCGCCGGCGACGCCAGATGACTCTCGTGTCCCGGCATGTGAAGGCGCCCGCCTGGCCGATACCAACTGGCAAAGACCTCCTTCGCCGCTCGCATCAGCGCGACGTTCACCGCGCCGCCCCGTCCGAGCAGCGCGACGGCGACCACGTTCGACGTATCGCTGTACCACTCGCTGAAAGTCCTCGCGTTCTTCGTGATCGCCGTCACGTCGCCGCCGGCCGCAGCGATTGCGAACGTGACCGCTCTGCGCAGCTCTCGCACGAGCTCGATGGTCATGCCTTCACGCCGGAACTCGTTGAAGTAGCCGCCCATGGGAAAGGTAGTCTCGCCCGGCACGCCCACCGCCGCCTTGCGCCCGATCGCGTTGAAGAAACGAGCAACGTCCGTGCCCGTCATGTGGGACCGCTTCTCCTCATCAAACACGCCCACCCGAGCGCCCGTGTGCACGACGTAGTACGACTCCATCACCCCGAGCATGGACTCCTCCTTTCGCAGGTAAGAAGCCGCCCCCGTGTACTGCTCGAGCTGCTGCGTCTCCCAGTGCACGAGCACGTCCACTCGCGCCCGCTCGAACACTCCCTGCGCGGCTCGCGGCACCAGCGACGTGCCAGCACCGAGGGCGTTCAGCGATCTGCCAGCGTACTCCTTCGCACGTTGCCCGCGGCGTGCCGCCTCGCGCCCTTCACTGTCCGCATCTCGGAGCTGCTCCTTCTCGCCACCACAGTTCCAGCAACTCGTCGCCCGTGCATCGTTCCGCGTCTCGCGCCGGCAGTAGATGCACTGCCAGTGGGTGAGGCGCCGATCCATCCGCCTCGACTTGCTTGCTCGCGTCGGCCCGACGTCGACCCTGCGCTTGTCTTGTGTGATCGCGCCAGCCTCCACAGCGACATCCGCAGGTTGTGTCCCGCCGCCGAACTCCCTGCCTATCCCGTGGAGCTGCCAGCTGATCGGCTGCAACGGCCCGGTGTACATCACCACGTCGCCGACCGGCGCGGACAGCGGCTGCAGTATCACCACCGGCGTGATCGTTCCTCGCGAAGTCGTCGACAGCCGAGGTCTCGCGAGCCACTCGTCGGTTCCCTGCGGGAGCCGCTCCTCGATTCGTTGCGTCTCCGCTCGGTCGTCCATCGCCGCCAGCCGCCTCGAGTATCGTTCGGTCGCCAGCTCTCCAGCTCGTCGTTTGGTCACCGAGGAGAGGGAACGAAAGCACACCTCAAACTGCAGGACGTGCATCCTGGACGCATCCCTCCTTGTCCCACTTATCGAATTTGTGCAGGCGAGAGTACTCGTCCGAATTCCGGCGTTTTTCATAATCTCATCCTACTACGCTACTAGTACTCGAGTATGCGAGCAGAAAAAAAATAAAATATTCTTACCTTCAAGCCCCCCTCCGAGACTAGGGACAGAACCACACCAGTATAGACCAGAGGGACTGCGCCTCGCCCCCACTTGCCCTGACTGCACAGGATAGCGTGCCCCGAAGACGGCGACACATAGCGGGGGACACTGCGCAAGGAGGGGGTGCGAAGCCAAGGTTGGGGTTCTGGGTGGTGGGACCAATGAGGGGGGGAGGGCGGGGTCCTGTGGGGGTGAAATGTTGCGCGGCGAATTCGAGCCTACCCCCTCGCCGCGCCGATCCTCACGCGGAGGGTAAAACCCTGTGGGACAAAACCCCTCCGCGGTCGGCTGTCTTCAGAGTGGACCCCCCCCTCCCCAGCCTCCCCTGTTCGTTTTTCGCACCCCCCCCCCCGCTCCGGCTCCCCATCGGTGACTCGCGAAGGACACGGACACTCGGGGTGGGGGGGGAGGGGTCCCCCAGAGAGGGGGCTTTGGGGCCTTGTTGAGTCAATCTCCCCCCCAGAGGGGCCTCGTTGGGTCGATCTCTGGCCGATCTCGTGTCGATCTCGGGTCGATCTCGGGTCAATCTCGGGTCGATCTCGGGTCCATCTCGGTTCAATTCCGGGTCAATCTCGGGTCGATCTCGGGTCACGTCGTGCGGCGTAATGAGGCGAGATGAGGTGAGATGAGGCGAGATGAGGCGAGATGAGGCGAGATGAGGCGAGATGAGGCGAGGCGAGGCGAGATTAGACGAGATGGGGCGAGATTAGGCGAGATGGAGCGGGATATCGCGAGGTGCAGCCAGCTCCTGCCTGGATGGAGTCAGGATAATGCCTGGGAAGATTCTGGTTGGTGCCTGAAGGGGGCTAGGTATGCCTGGAAGGAGCCAGGTTGATGCCTTGAGGCCTTGAGGGAGTCGGCTTGTGAGGCCTTGAGGGATCCAGATCTGGATCCCTCACGGCCTCAAGCCGACTCTCTGGTTCTTCTGGTTCCTCTCGGCGACGCCCAATGCGTGCGCCGGCGTGGGGAGTGTGCGTGCGCGCGCGTGTGTGAGATGAGGATTGTGGCAGGCTGGCTGCTGCTGATGTGGGCAAGTGTGCTCTGTGTGCGGCGCTGCGCTGGCGTGCGATGCGCGCGTGCTGTGCGCGTGTGCGTGTTGGAATCGCGCGTGCGTCTGCGTGTGCTGCGCGCGCGCCGGCGTGTGCTGTGCGCTGTGCTCTGTTGTGCGCCTGTTTGTGCAGCTGGGAGGCGCAGCTTTGGCTGGCAGGGCTGCGCGGTGGGCTGCGGCGTGCTGCGGGTGGTCGCGCGCCTGCCTGATGGTGTACGGCGGCCGCGCAGCCCGCCCGACCGGGTCGTCGGCGGCCCAGGGCGCGAGCATGCGGTCGGCGCTGCATGTGAGGCTGCTGCGCGGCTGGCGCGTATGTTTCCGTGTGGTGAGGGACGCGCGTATGTGTTCACGCTGCGGGCGCGGGCGGGCGCGGGGGGCGGCGTGGTCTCACCGCGGTCCGACGTCGGTTGGTCTTCGGCGTGGCGAGGGCGGGCGCGCAGAGAGGCCTTGCCGCCATCGCGTTGCCGCGAAGGAAAAAGAATAGCGCCTGCGACTTGGGTAGGAAAAAGTCACGCACGAAGGAAAAAGAGGCGCGTGTGCTGATTCTAGATCGCACGCCGTGGCATTGTATGACTTGGGTAGGCGTGCGACCGCAGCGCGCCCGTCGTAAGGTCGACGGGGCGCGCGTGTCAGCGAGAGAGTTGCGGGCGGAGCCATAGCCGACTTTTTCGAGGACGAGAGATACGCTGCTTCTGCCGATAAGTGAGAAGAAATCGCCCCTCTATCTCCCACTCGAGGCCACTTTAACAACAACACTGTGTGTGGAGAAATTTACCTACCTTCCTACGTGCAAAAAAAGAGGGAAAGGGACGACAAAGCTCAAACGTCAAAGCCTCGAACAAAGGTCAAGCAAAGCCGGCGGCCGCGGGGAACCCTACCTGCGGTTCACAGTCGTTGTCTTTCTTTAGCGCACGAGTCGTTTATTTGGGGTCGTTTGAGTCCTTTGGGGGCAGTTAGTCAGGAGCGCCCACTCGGGCTGCTCCACGAGCTTCCGCAGTCTACTAGGTAGGTACTCCCTTAATGTGGGTAAACCATAGTAGCGTGCACGCTACTATGAACAGAGAAACCCATAAAAGTCGGCGCGGCAGTCCACGCCGAGCCGGCCTGCTGCCGGCTCGCACGGCAGCCTTTTCCTCTCGACCAGCCTCGACTTCCGTACAGTCAACATTTTGTCGCTGCGTGCTCGTGGCGAGCTGTGGCGGCGGTCGAAGTTGGCCCAGATTCGGTGACGAGCGCCGGACGATAGTAGTGTCTCTGTTCGCCCTGTGCATGTCAGGCCAGGCTGCAGCAGGGCACTACCATCGTGCTGCCCTGTTGCAGCCTGACCTTGCCCACTGTGCACAGCCGCCAGAGCACCACCACCGCCCGGCATCGTGTCACGGCGAGCTCCTTCTGCGCCCGCTCGCGAGGCTCTCGCGCTGGCACACTTTGGCCATCTGCTGCTCGCGTTCGGCGAGCTCTTCTCCGCAATCCTGCCACGGTGCCGCCACCACACACCTTCTGGCCGGCCTGAGCCGCGCGGACTCGCCGGCGGGGGCAACGTGTCGACCTCTCTCTCTGGTGCACCACGGGCCGCAACGGCCTGCTAGCAGCGTGCGCGAGGAGGCAGTGTGCCGGCACAGTCGAGCGGGAGCATCGGGTTCTTGATGCTTGTGGGGTCGAGTTTGACCTTATGCGGCCTAATATACAACAATAATGCTATGCTCTCACCCAGCCTTTTGAGATATGATCCCTCAAAGTCGAATTATGGTTTACTGGTGACCATAGTAGCGTCTGTCCTGTTTGCGTTTCTTCAAACGAATCCTTTAAAGTCTCAACAATCACTAAGCTGCTTATGTGGCACCGCAGAGGCTCCCTTGGGGATGCCTGAGGCCACCCCAACCACTCACCAAGCCTTACGTGGACGAATTCAAACCTACTTTTATGGTTTACCCACACTAAGCGAGTAGGTAGTAAGGTGAAGAACAGCCAGGCTCGGACTGGACACCAACGCGGTATGGGTGGACGCTGGACAGATGATGACGACACGCACGAGCGACACACAGTCTACTCCAGAAAGAAGAATTCTACGAAGACAAGCCCCTCTCAGAAAGAAGAAACTCGACGTACCGGGTAGACGTCGAGTGGCCACCAGCCCCGGCCGCTACCCGGGTACAAGCGATGCGGACTCGCGGCTCTGCCCGTCGTGCGACGCTGCTGCTGTCCCAGCCGACGGACCTCCTAGATGCGTGCCTCATGTTTCTCGACCTCGATCAGATGCGCGCGACTAAGCCCACCTGCCGCAAGATCTGCAGAGCTGCACGCCGGTTGCTCAACGACGTGCGGTGGCTGGGCATGCATTTCCGCCTCCCGCACATCTACAACACGCTCCAAGACCTCTTGTCTTACGACGCGATGATCCAAGCCGCTCGCTGCCGCAGCGATCTCACCACCGCTGAGTTCGATGAGCGCTTCCTTCCCCGGGTTCTCCATCGACTTGACCCGCTCATCGAAGAAGAGTTCGGGCGTCTCCTTGAGGACGCTCGACGCGACTTGCTGTCGGGCGCGCGGCCGTGGCTGTCTCGCGCAGCTCTCGCGAGGGTGCGGGCTTGCCCCGCTGAGGCAGCGCAGCGCAGCGAAGCGGAGGCCGACGTCATTGGCCCGACCATGCTTCCGCTGCTACCGCTGCACCTGGCCTTGTTTGTACGGCTCAGCGGCGATTGCGTGGCCGCCCTCGCCGACGCGCACCCTCCGTCGCCAAGCTGGCCGCTCGCCGACCTGCTGCGGGCGCGTCAGTGCGGCGAGGCGGCTGCCCTCCAGGTGCTAGCTGGAGGAGTGGCAGCGGCGGCCAACAGGGGTGCTCTTCCTCTCCAACTTAGCGAGTACGAGCCCACATTCCTGCACGTCGCGTGCACCGGCACGCCCAGTGCGGCGCTGATTCGCGCCCTCCTCGAGATGAGCCCCGTGGCGGCCGCTCACCCTCTCACTAGGGACGGCTTGTGCGAGCTGCCGCTGCAACGCCTCTGTCGTGGCATGGGGGAAGACGGCTGGCGCACGTCGCCGGATGCGCCGGAGGCCGTCGCGCTGCTCGCACGCGCACACCCCGCGGCGCTGGCGGAACGGGCAGATTACCAGTCGACCGACGGGGCGACACCTCTCTTCTTGGCAGCGCTTCACTGCCCAGAGCAAGTCCCTGCGCTGCTCGGGGTTTATCCGGCCGCCGCCGCGGTCGAGTTTGACGACAGCTGCAGTGACAGCGAGCACGCCGGCATGCTGCCGCTGCACGCCGCGTGCCTCAGCGAGTCTCCTGCTGTGCCCGGGCATCTCGCGCGCAAAGTGCACGCCCCACGCCCGCCGCAACGTCGTAGCGAAGTAGGACCGCGCCTCCTTCGCGCTACGCGCGCCGATCCGCCTCCAGTGCTGCTTGGATGCCGAATCCACCACACAGTCGAACAGCTGGTGCAGGTCGTCCGACGCCTCCGCGTAGGCCCCGACAACGAGGCTGCGCACGGTGCCAAACGAGCGCAGCACGGAGGAAACGGCGTCCCTCGAGCCGTTGTTCCATGTCTGCACGTGCGGCTTGGCATCGAGCGCCGCCGCCCGCGCCTCGTAGTCGCGCTGGACAAGGTTCGCCCTGTCGGCGACAGCGCCGCCCTGGCCATCGTCGCGCGCCCGAGCGCTCATGTAGTGAGGCCCGCCGCGGTGGATGGTCTTGCCCTCGAGAAGGTGCTCCGCCGGCGGCTGCTCGGGCCCGCGCTGCACTGTCGTGCCGCGCCACCGGACAGACGGATGCGCCTGGCCTCGTGTGCCCGTGCAGCGCGCCGTGCGGGACTCGCGCAGCTTGCAGTGCAGGCGCCCATCCGGCACGATGCCGTTCTTGCCGCGCGTGCCAGCTGTGCCGTTGAGCGTGACCGGCGGGATGACGGCGCTGAAGATCTCGCGCGGCTCCTCCTTGCCGCGCAGCCCCGCGTGCAGCGCATCACCGATCACGCGTGTGTGAGAAGATGTCGTCGTGGCAGTTGCCGTGGGCGCGGTCGTTGAGCGTCGCCAAGCCCAGCTGGACGAGCTCACCCACGCGGACGAGAACGAGTCGACGGCCAGCCACGCCTCCCGCCGCGTGTCGCCGTGCGGCAGCCCGAGGATGCTGCGGCTGAGCTGGTTGCGCTTGACCTGCTCCCGCTGCTGCGTCAGCTGCCGCTGTAGCCCAGCGCTGCCGGCCCGCCCGTTGCCAGCCTCGGGAGCCCGGAGATCAAGAGGCCCCGCCACGCCCTCGCCGCGGACCTCTCGTTGCATGCCCTCCCACGCCCTCTTGAAGGACTCGCCCGTCAGCGTCAGCTGCCCCAGCTGCGCGCCGAGCGGGTTGACGTTGGTGGTGCAGCCCGAGAGGAAGCGCGAGAGGCGAGGGCTGTTCGGGTACGGCAACTCGAAGGCGCCGTGGCCGAAGAGCGGAGCGAGCATCTGGAAGAAGCCACGCTCGCTGCCGCCGCCGGGCGTCGACCTGTCGAGGAACCTCTCGGCCGCCTCGACAAAGCAGGCGCAGAACGCAGCCGGCGCCACCTCCTCGAGCGAGCGCAGGCCGAGGCCGCGCATCCGCGCAGGCAGGCGAGCCCGCCGCGCGGTGATGGCGTCGCCGAGCACGCCCTCGTAGCCGCACGCCTCAGCCGCACGCCTCAGCAGCGTCGAGGACGCGAGCGTGGGACACCGTCTGGTCGGGAGGGAGGTGCCGGAGGATGAAGTCGAACTTGGCAGAGCAGGAATAGTAGATGGCGGCCCACAGCGCGTGGGGGCTCGCAGCACGTAGCGAAAGAACCGTCTTCTCGATGTAGCTCTCGATACTGCTCACCTGGGCGCGTAACCACGCATCCACAAACCCTGCCTCCCCCATTGGGCAGCCCGCGACCATCACGCCTCGGTACGCGCGCGACCCGCCATCCTCCTCCGGCACCAGCACCATGCCGACTGGCGCGCCCAACCCGATGCTTCACTCATGCTTCGGTGTGAATCACGCCCGCTGTGAAAACAGTTGGCGGGGAATTTTTGCGCCAGTCAATAGAGCATGAAAATACCTTTCAGACGGTACCTTTATGACCTCCAGAGTCGAAGAACTCGACCGGTGGCTGGCCGCCAAAGTGGCTGGACGGCGCCGCGGCGCACACTGGTGAGCCGCGGAGCACACTGCGGCAGCTGTCCTCGGCGCAGCCGATCGGCTCCCGCGGCCTGGAAGCTGGATGGTGGCAGTGGCACTCTCTGAGGCTCCCTGATTTTTTCTGGTATTTTTTTAGCACTCTCTGGTCACCTTCGCCGGGCGAGCCTGGCTCTCGCTGCACAGCGGCGCGACCCGCGGTGAGGCTACCGATCGTCGAGAACTGGGCTTAGCTCTTGACTGAGCACCACCGATGAATCGGCAGCAGGGAGACAGGAAGGCTCGCTGTGTGAGCCGGCCACGCAGAGGGTCGGAACACCTGGGTCGGAAGAGGGTTCAGGGTACCTCGGCCCACTTTGCTTTTGGCAGGTACTTCCAATACACGCTTGTTCCACCTCATGAGCGGTACACGTGGCAAGCCTCGACGTCGTCGGACACAAGTGGGATGGGAGCTTGGGGTCGCGTCGTGGGGGGGCCAGCACACCTAGTCGCCTAAACGTGCCCCCTCGACCGCAACCTCATCACAGGATCGCTATGCCGTCTCTCACCAAACGCCTAGCCCAGCACGGAGCAATGCCAGCACATGTGCATGTCTCGAGAGCCAGAGTTCCCGCAACCCAGTAAGTATCGGTAAGTGCACCGTCCACGGCCGCACAAGGCGGCCACCGCGAGAGAGTTCCTCGGCGCACACGCGCCGCCACAGGGGTCGGTCCCAGGTGCCTGTCGGAGCGGCGACACGATTTCAGTGACTGCGCGGGGGCGGCGCGGCCGCGCGAACGAGTGGCGGTCCGCGGCACCTCACGTGTCGAGGCTGGGTGTCGCACCGCGCTCGGAGCTCGCGGGCTCCTCGGACCAAAACGAGTCGAGCACTTCCAGCACATCGTTCACTTCGATCAGGTAGTTGTCGTTTGTCAGCGACTGCACCGAGCTCGAGCGAGGCATCGATGCGGCGCCCTCGCGCCGCTGCGGGGCGGCCGAGGCGGCCGAGGGGGAGCTTGGCCGCGGCGGCGCGCGCCGCGCCTCCCCGCCTCGCTGCTGCCCCTCCTCGTCCTCTTGGTTTTGGTACTGCCTCGCCTCAGACATGGGCACGTCGCAGCCGCGCTTGCGCGACGACTCTTGGCCCTTCGAGCTGAGGCCCGGCGCGGAGCCGTCCCCCGCCCCGGACGCCGCGCCCGACTGCGAGTAGGAGCCGGGGTTGGTGCAGGAGGGGCAGCCGCCCGCCAACGGCGCGAGCCCGTCGGGCGGCACGCCGCCACGCAGCGTCGGAGAGAGCGGGCCCTGCGCGATGGAAGGGCCTGCGCTGGCGCACTGCGCGCTGGTTCGAGTGCACTGGACGTGGGACTGCTCCGTCGCATCCGGGAACGGCCTCCGCGTCACGACGCCCTGCGCCACGACCGCCGCGAGAAAGTCGTCGTTCGACGTGCGGCCGCCGCCGCCGCCGCCGCCGCT